GTTAACAGTCACATTTACCTCTCACACACAGACTTTGACAAACATATATACACAAAGACAAGAGAACAGAAGTCTTAGGTTTACACATCCTAGTCATTCCCACCATAAGTTTCAGATAGCTCAAATTAGGGAAGGCACAGATCTTAAACATACCACGTGGTTGCATAGAGAAGAGAGAGAGAGAGAGAGAGAGAGAGAATCACTATTTCTTATTTTCCCTTTTAAGTACCTTTATTTAGCCAAATTGGTTTCCCAGCAAAGCCCTAAGCAAAGTCTATTTTTTTTAACATATAGTTTCTTTACCTATCTCTTTTTTCATAACTGCCTGGACGGGTAGCTGATTCCCATACCAGGCCTCAAGCAAGCTCTCAACCGGGGAACCTATCTCAGCCCTTGTATTGGGCACTATACACCGGAAGCCTCCTTGTGAGACTTCTTCCTTCCGCCATGGTTTTGTGGGTCCAAAAAGGGGACTCACGGAGCACTCTGGATCCCTCACAGAGTACGTGGGCTCCTTGAGGGATCCCCCACGTTTTCAGACCAAAAAGGGGTCTGTAGAGACACTTCTGGTTTCCCCTCAGAAGGTACAGGTTACTCTACCACCGATCGGCTTCACCGCTACTGTTTTGCGGACCCCTAACATCCGCTGCGGACCTCTGCTTGCTCTCAGAGGTAAGTGGACCGCTCCTAGCCCGGGGCTTCCTAGCCCGGGACTTAGTTTCCTAACTTTGCTTACAGGGCCTTGTCAGCTAGTTGCCCAAATCCAATTCTATCATTCACTCATTCCATTTCATTTTCACATAGCCTCTCCCTTTTCCCTACAAAAGGTTCTGTGCTCTGACCAACCCCCATGCTTTCCAGGTTCTGCCAATTAAACAGATCCTTTCTGCGGCTAGGAAAGACCAGAAGGAGCAAAATCCAACTGTGATTGGGAAAAAAAAGGTCTTCTCACTCACACACACAGACATACACACATTTTCTTTGTTCCCCTGGGCTTTAAACTTAAAATTTAGAGGTACTCATCTTCACCTTCTTTCCAAAGCAGCCCTTGAGCTCAAACTCTCAAAACTCCCCTTTACTACCTGGCTCCACATGGGCAAGGCCTGGGGAGCCCATCCACAGACACAAGGGGTCTGCTGCCGGCAAGATGGGGCTTACCAGTCTCAGTCCATTGGAGAGGTTAGCTTGGAGTCCCATTCTGAGGTGCCAAATTGTTAGAAGTAAGTCTTCATCCTGGTTCATCCAAGCCGGGAATAAATAAGCAAACATGGCGACTGCTTTGGGAAGAAGGTTACAGTTTATTGCAGAAGAAAGATGGTCCTTGCAAGAAGGAGCAGAGGAGAAGAAAGAGTACATGGGTAGAAGGGCTTTTATACCCCCTACAGCCCTGCTTGGAATAGTTTCCTGTTCCTGTGGCATGAACTTTGAGGATATTTGTGAGTGTTTTTCTAGGCCTTGATATCTGTGGTTTAATCCCATTATCATATCCTGCTTCCCAAGTGATGGGGCTAATGACTCTTAAGAGCTTCTTTTGTCTTGAGATACCTGGCTCCAAACTTCCTGATGGTTCCACATCTGCATTTGTATAAGACTAGCTACTGCTTTGGGCAAAGAGATGAGGCCAGGTTTGGTTTCTGCTTTTCAAAAAATGCTTTTAAAAATCCTTTTGGTGAACAATATCTTTCTTTCTGCCTTTTTAATATTTCCTTCTCTGGGCTAACTTCCCACAGCAGCAAGGGTGTTCTAAATATTAAAATATACAGACTCCTTCCTTAGCCATCATGAATTCACCAAAGTTTTTAGGCTCAGGAATCCCCTTAGAAAACCTTGATGTTTGCAGTATGCAACTGCAAAACAGCTTCCAGAACACACACATTCCTCCAATGATCCTATCCACCTCTGTATTAGTTCCCTCATTTATTTGTGGAAATCAAGGCACAAGAACCTCATGTATCACTGCTTAGCAAAAGTTCCCACCAGCTTCTCTCCCCCCCCCCCCCAGTCCCCTTCTGAACAGTACCCTTTCCTCCATCGTCTTCTCCTTTACCATTTCTGCCCTGGCCTCTCTCCCTCCCTCTCTTCCTGCTTCTTCCACTTTGTTCTTCCTCTCCCCATCTCTCTCTCTCTCCCTTTTCTTCTTTCTCGGCCACTCTTCCTTCTCCGCCCTGTCAGGTCGACTTGGCCTCATTCCTGCCACCGCATCTCTCCGCGCACTCCTTTGTGCTTTTCCCCTCTTCTTGCCCAATCCATCCATCCACCCGTCCATCCACCCATCATCCATTCTTCGCTTCTTCTCCTCTTGCTCGCTTCCTTCCCTTCTCCTCCATGGTCCATTTCCTGCATCTCTCTCTGCCACTGTATTTCTTTCTTCTTTTCCTTCCTTCCTCCCTCCCTCCCTTCCGCCGTCCCTCCGTTTGTCCACCATCCCTCCGTAGCTGACTTGCCCCCCCTCCTTCTCTCCACAGCATGGGATTGTGGGAGGAAACGGAGTGGAGCGGAGCGAAGATAGACGCCCAACGAACATGGCTGCACCATGAGCCGCCTCCCAGAGGCTCGCCTCCACCGCCGCTGCCTCCTCCTCCTCTCCTCCTCCTCCTCCAGCCGCCCGAGCGCTAGCGCCAGGCCGTGGCTTGAGCCAAGGCCGAGGGGGGGAGCACAGCGGCCGAGGGGGGGAGCACAGCGGCCGAGGGGGGGAAGAAGAGGAGGAGGAGGAGGGACAGCTGTCCCCGATCTCCTCCCCGATCGCCCCCCCTCGACCGTCGCTGCGGGAGGAGGCGCAGGGGCCCCCCGACTGAGCCGAGGAACGGACTGACAGACCGCGGCTGGCCCCGGGCGCCTGCTTCCTGGCGCCCCCTCCCCATGGATAGGAACTACCCCAGCGCCGGCTTCGGGGATCCGCTGGGCGCCGGCCCGGGATGGAGCTACGAGCGCTCGGCCAAGGCCAGGTTAGGCCGCCGGGGGTGGTAGAGGGGAGGGAAAGGAAGCTTTTCCCCCTTTCCCGGCCAATGCCGGAGACCGGTCTTGGCGGGGATCAAGCACTGCACCACCTCCTTCCAGTTCCTCCTCGTCTTCTTCACGAGCCTCCTTCTCTGGGCCTGGAAGTGGGGTTGGGGGGGGGAGAGTGGAGGGCAGAAACCGAGAGGCCCCTCAGGGAAAGGAATGCCGGCGGGGATCTGCTTCTGGCTCCTTCGCCAACGGCGTGGCACTGGGGTGCAATCTTGGGACCGTCCATACGCTGGAAGGGTCGTCTTTTGCAGAGGAGAGGGTGGGAGAGGAGGCGACCCGCGCCATAGCGTCTAGGCCCTATGGTGGCATGGGGGACCTGACTGAGGTGCGCAGCCCCTTGGGCGCTGGAAGACGGGAAGGTAGTAGGGACGCGGGACAGAAATGTGTGTACAAAGGGCAAAGGAGGAAGAAAAGGTGGCTAATGTTCACTTCTCATGCAGGGCAACCCTGTAAGCCCTGCAGGGGGAAAGTGCTTTAATTCCCTGCATGTGAAGGGTGAGTGAGAGTCACAGTGTGATGCCTTTGTGGTTTCTCTAGTGCAGGGGTAGGCAACCTCGGCTCTTTTATGACTCATGGACTTCAACTCCCAGAATTCCTGAGCCAGCATAGCTGGCTCAGGAATTCTGGGAGTTGAAGTCCATGAGTCATAAAAGAGCCGAGGTTGCCTACCCCTGCTCTAGTGGGATGATTAGTGAGATGCTCTGTGGAGGACACCTCTCCTGCCCTCTTTATGGCATGAAGGACATTTCGTTGCATTTCCTGTCACTATGTGAGACAAAGCAATAAGATTTGGCCTCCATGTTTTGGGGTAAGGAACATTATTCTGGGAGGGAAAACAATCAGCATTGTTTTGGAAGATTTCACCCCACCCCTGTTTATGTACTTGGAGGGAGAAGCAGAACTAATGTTCTGTGTGTGTGTGTGTGTGTACATGAGAGTAGAAAATTGTAGCTCAGTTTTTTGGTAGACAGTCTCAGAATTGCTGAGTATAAGCTCAGCTTTTGCAGATAGTGATGGTTACAGGAAAGTCTTTTTTGCTAAATGTAAAAAGGAAATTCTTGATTTTGGGAACCCTAGGTATTCCCATCCCTTGTGTGTGTGTGAAATAAAATAGAGATAGGTAGTTGCAGGCCCTGTAACTCATCTCTGTTTTTCCTGTAAACTGGGACACTTGTTCACAGTTGTTTGTGTGGTTTATCCTGTAAGAACATCTTTTGCAGAGGAAAACTGCAGAAGGTAAACCCTATAGGCTTAAGAAGGGGGGGGGGGTTGAGACTTTGATGTAAAATTCTAAACATTTGTGGCTGGAGTATTACTTTCCACTTATAAGAAATGAAATACTTTTTAAGGGTTTCGCTAGATAGAAATCTGATCTTCCCATTCCTATAGAAATGTGAGGTCAAAAGTTCTTTTGACCAGACATTAATTTTTCATTTGTTGGTTTTTTGCTAGACACGGTTGTTGTTTCAGTTAAACAACTCCTTAGCTTAGTAGCTATTTACCCCTCTTGAATAACTCTGGATCCATACACTCATCTGAATCTTTGCTTTGATATGCTCATCCTTGCTTCCATCCTAGATGATCCAAGAATTTGGGATCTTATTAACTTTGGCTCACTTCCTGAATAAGCCAAGTCCTAAATCCTCAGCATCACATTTTAAAAATCCATGAGAATAAGATGTTCCTTAAGATCCAACACTAATCTGTTTCTGCAATGTCTATCACTTAAACATATTGATATGTGTGGCTAATTTGCATCTTCACCTCAGTCTTGATAGGTGAGGAAATACAGTGACACCACCTTATATGAATCTATGTACTATGTTTGAGAGGAGTTTTCATGAATATATCTTGTTCTCCTCCTCTAGGTCAGCCTGCTATGGTGTTCAGCCTTCCCTTCAGATGTGTTGGACCACAAATGGAGATTATAGTAGTAGCCATCCAATGCATCTGGAGGGTGCCAGGTCAGGGACAGCTATCCTAAACACAGTTGCATTCATGTAAAAACGAACTGATCCTTTCCCCCAAAGCTGCATGGATTTTATTGATGTTGTGTTATGTTTGGTAAGAAAGGAGTAACAAGTTTTGATTTAAATGTGGCACTAGCCACAGGGACATATGACTGTAATACCAGGCATCTGCCATGCATCTTATTGTTATTTTAGCATCCATGTATGAAGCACTATGATGCCAACAATTTGTCCTATGGGTGAGAGAACTAGAGTACTAGTAGCATTGGTAGGCTAAAACTGTGCACAGCTGGGTTTGCACATGCACATTTAAATGAGTTTGTGGTGCCAGTGGAATGCATAGTGCAGCATTCATCACATGGACCCATTCAGATGTGTTGAGACCTGAACACTTAGAATTGCTAGCCAGCTCAGCCAACAGATGAGTAGATTGGGAATTCTAGGTGTTGTGGTTCCTCTGTATCTGGAAGGTACCATGGTGTAGAAGACTGGCATAGTGGCTTTCTTTTGAAATAATGGGTATTTTAGGAAAGGGAAAGTTGGGAACCAGCACTGATGGAAACAGTGTGAGTCTAGTGGCTTAGCTTATAGAGTTTTGAGGATGAGACTCCTTGGTTTTTCTTGGAACTGAAGCTGAGGTCAAAATATGTTGAGAAGTGGGGTCTTAGATTGCAGATGAGTTAGTACAAAGACCCTGGGCTTACAAGCAGAGTTCAGCCACACTGATCTTTGTATTTGACATGAATTTAAAATGTACATCTATCTGAAATGAGAATTAGAGTAAGACCATCTACTGTAATTTTTAAAAAGGAAAAAAGCTACTTCAGTATATCCTTCTCTACTCTGTCTTAGGGTACCTTGGCCTAAAATGATAAACTGGCTTCTTCCGCTGTTGAAATAAAACTTTCTGTTATGCTTGTTTCTAACATACGAACGGAGTGGTGACCACTGAGGTTTTAAAAGATGTGGGCATTCAAACAACAAAGTCAGAGTAGGCTTTGGAAGTATGCAGTCAGTTGCCTGCAGAATTGTGCATTCGCAAAGTTTAGCAGCAATATGCAAGTAACAGACAAGTTTGTTGAATGCATCACGTTATAACAGTTGCTAATACAGTAAACCCTATGCCATACTATACAGCATTCAAAGTGCTACCAATAAGCAGCTCACAGATGCAAGAAGCATATGGAATAAGGACTGCAAGTTATAGAAGGATGGGTGAGTGCAAAAAAAAAAATGCATGCAGCATCACAAAGTACAACTGCTATGCCTACCTTCCAAACAAGGCAGCCAACCAACCAGATTTCCAGCCTTTCAGCATGCAAAGTTATAAGCTAGTAGTACTTAGTCTTTACTTCAGTCACTTGGGCTGCCATGCAAACATGATAGTTCATAGTGGCTGCAGAACACAGAATCAGTTGATTGACTTGTCTAGTTTACTGTACTTTCTCTTCATTCTTTAAAACAATTCATAGTATAGAAAATATCCAAAATACATGTAAATCTGTATTATTTAAACTACTTATAGATGTTTTTAGTCAATATTTGAGTAATCTCAGTGTTAAAGGTACTAATTACAAAAATCTCAGCAACAGATCAGTACAATCTTAGATGGAATATATGTCTCAGTAGTGTATAGTATCGGATCTAATTGTATTCTGTATGCATATGTGATACCATAGTATACTATGATTTATAAGAGAAGAAATACTCACTTTGGAGGATACAACATCTATATGTAATATACACTACAAGCAAAGCATGTATGCTGACATCAATAGCTCTACATCCTAAGGGTACCACAACTTTCCAGTAAATCTGGGAAGGAAAGCATGAGATTTGACCCTTAAAGGCCAAGCAAAAGATGGAAAAATCAGAAGATGTGAATGAGAACCAATCTAGACTGAGGAGGCCATGTTAATTTAGAAAGAAAACAAGGGACTGTATATCATGGTCTTCTCAGCTTCAAAGAGGACATGTAAAACTAGCCTATCACATAGTCTTCTCACATCAGCTCATTATGTGACTTTTAAAATTAAACTTGCTAACAGCTGTTCCTCTGTTAAACCTGTTAAAAGATTTACCTTTAGGTTCCTACACCAGAACGTTTTCACAAACTGAAGGGGGGAGAAGCATTTTTCTTTTCTCTAAGGCTGTTGGTATTTAAATTATTAAATTTTAGTGCATGTGGGTGAACATGCACTAAAGGGGTTTTTTTTAATCACGAGAGGTGGTCAAAACGCAACCTAAGGGGATTTTAAATCAAATTTTTAGTCCGGGTTTTAGGGGATTCCAGGGAGAGGGGTGGGCAAACTGAAATTAATTCTCCCAGGCCGGCTGAAGGCCTCGGTGAGGTGGGCGTAGGTCCTGGAATTGGGGAGGGGGGGTCTGCCTAATAGAGGGCAATTCCATTAAGACTGTGTATGGGAGGGGTAGATATGGCGGTAGCAGAGGGCCATATCACACTAGGGGAGGGCGCACCCGCTGTTTACGAGCTGTGGCGCGCTCCGGCCCCCATGGCTCTTCTTGCAACCTAGGGTGTTTAGGATCTCAGGGCCTGGGCTTTCGGCTGATGCTGTGTAACGTCCACGGTTAATAAAGCCCCCCTCATTTATGATTTGGTATCAGAGGGGGAGGTGGACCTGGCGGGTATTACGGAGACCTGGCTGGGCCAAGAGGGGGGGGTGCTCCTCGTTGAAATGTGCCCGCCAGGTTACCGTGCATTTCACCAGCCGAGAGCCCAGGGTCGGGGTGGGGGGGTGGCGGTTATTATTAAGGAAGGCCTGGATCCAAGGGAGACCACTGTGCCGCAGACTGCCGGTTGTGAATCCCTAGGTGTGAAGTGGGGTCATGGGAGGCAGCAGGGCGTGCTGATTGTATACCTGGCT